GCCAACGGGAGGAATAGTCCATCTGATGACCTGCAAATGAGGGCGTTTCTGGCGACGAGGGGGTCAAAAAGAGGGGGATAGGAGGTGACTCAAGAGAGGGGCTCGGGAACAGGAGGACTCCTCTTGGCGCGAGGAATTGGCTAAGAGCTGGATGTTTGGATTACGATTTGGATGCTGATATACCAAAAATTTATACTTCGAAATGATGTTTGTATATTCGTTTTTTCCTCTGGAATTAGACTTGATAATAGACGATAAATAGCATTTTTCAAACTAGGTATGTGCACATTTAGTTTTGTTACTTTTTTTTTCTCTTTGTACAAATTTTCTTCGTAGTTTGAGCTAATATCGATCTTACCATCTTATAATTTTCTTTCATATTTATTTCTTAACTTACTATTTATCACTGCACTGTTTATTCTTTTTTTTTCATCAATTAGTCAAAACTTTTAAACAAAAATTTTATTTGTTGTTACCTAATTTTGGCCTCGCCTATTAAGATAGTCCACGTGGATATGTATATTAAATCATGTGGATATACATTAAATCAATTATTATATTTTATCTTATTATTAAGGCCCAAGAATAATACCGCTTGTAATAATATCGGGCCCAATAAGTATACCTATATATATAAAGTCCCCAATGATGGCAAAGGACACGATAAGACTGAGGGGTCTTTTAATTATTCTTCTTTATCTATAATAGAAAGGAGGCACCGCCTCCGTTGGGGTTTTCTTCATCTTCATCCATGTAATTTGACAATTCAAGGCTTTTGATCTTTTCATTCAATTCTTTCTTACAATTATTCTACACAAAAATCACACCAAAAAATCACTACAAATCCCTATAAACCTTACACCCCCTATTCACAAAAGGGGGGTGTACATTTTTGTTGTTACAAAATCGTATAACAACAGTTTGGCGCTAGAAGGAGGGCCTCGTTATTTTTTCGAGGTAATTCTCCAACTTGAACACCACAGACGCGATCTCCCTTTGATTCAAATCAAAAAAAAAAAAGAAAAAAAAAAACAAGATACAAGAGCTCTTATCACACACACACAAAAAAGGTAGCAGAACGCAAGAAGAAAAGAAAGGAGCGGAAGAACAAGATTAATAGAAGAAGTTGACATCGCCTGAAAATGGCCGGTGATTTAACCTCTCAATACCAGTACACGTTGACGCCACCACACTAGTCCACACTGACGTTGCCGTCCAATATTGCGGGGCCCGCATCATCTCTATCGGAACATTTCCAAGCACCGATGTCGGCGAAGCTCTTCATCTTAAACCGACTTTGGCGCCCCGACTTCATCATCGGACCGACCTCGGCTTCTACGGACCGACTTCGGTCTATCTGACGTGAAAAAGTCTTTGACCGACTTCGCCGTAACCCAAACCACCATGTCCAACTCTTCAACATCTCGGACCAACGGAGGCCCGACATCTCAATTTCCGACGTCACCTGTACCGACGAGCTCGACCTCGGTTACTACAGTACAACTCGGAGTCTCGAATATCAGAAATCATAGTTAGACCGACGTCGCCCTCTCAAACCGACTCCGGCACTACCGATCTCAACCGCCGCGATTCGATAAAACACGACTAAAATCTGATTCACTACGGGTTCACAACCAAGATCAATTAAGCTTTTGCATCACCAGGATTCGATCTCCTCTATTCTTGGCACTTGATTTATTTGCCGTTGTTGCACACGATTTTCTCAACAGATCAATTTTTTCAGATTCAGATGAATAGTGAGGTATGACTTAATCTCACTCTCTGTATAAAAAGCAAGCAAATAAGTTCGTAATTCCTTCTTGGGCTTGAGCTATTGGGCCGACAAATAAGTTGAGATGGGCTGAAATAATTTCAAATAAATATCACCTGCCGGGATCGGGACTATCTACTCCCACCGGGAAGAATAATTGTTCACAAGTTGACATCAGTCAATGACGGGTTGAGTCCAACTCCGCAATCACTGCTATCAATTCCCGACGTCTTCGTCACCGACTTCATATCGTTGGGACTTCATGAGCCGACGCCGACCTAAAGCCCAACGACTGACATCACCGTCGTGCGGGGCCACGAACCACTATAACCACACCGTCGGGGTCAAATCATGTCAGATCATCAACAACTGAATTAATGAACTGTAATTCAAGTCCTCCAAAATAGCAGCCTGGACAATTGCGACATTATTGGGTCCATGAAAAATGCAACCCGAGAATCGCAGCGGGCCCACCTTCGATAAAGCCGACATCTTCAATGACCGAGCCGACATCTCCGACTTCCATATGCCCACAAAGTTGTGAGACCAACATAGTGCCTGACTTCATCAACCGGGCCGCTTCCAAAGTGAAGACCAACTTTAGCATCGCGGACAGACTTCAAATTGGGGACGACCAACTTCACAACGGTCAAAATAACTTCAAAAGCCGAGACCCTGATCAAGTCACTTACCGACGGGCTTCAACGCCCTAGCAGCTGACTTCACAGCAGCCCATCACCGGGATCCCGACGTCCTCCACCGACTTGAATTATCGAGACTAGCCGACTTCAATTGTCAGGATCAGCTAACCTCAATGATGGCCAGCACAAACTCGGCACTTCTAAATCGTTGCCGGGCTGATTTTCCGTCTTCAAAACTCGCTGATAAGTTCTCCGACCTCAGCCACCGAGGTCCAAACTCGCCTCCAACCCACACAACCAAACTGCAGCCGAGACCACAATTAATCTCCAACGTCCGACTTCGTATAATAGTCGACCGACATCACCACGGTCAAACCGACTTCACAAGCTGAGATCCAGACCTTCCCGCCGGAATCCAACACAAACCGGCGCCATCAAGCCGCACAAGACAACCTTTAGCTGGACCGACTTCGGTCTACCCGATGTCATACAACTTCTCGGCAGACCGACTTCGCGGTAGCCGACCCCCGTCAGGGGCCCCAAACAAAGTCGGGTCGACCTCGACACCTCTGGATTTGACTTCAAAATCGAAATGAGTGCACAAATCGGCCGGAACCGACTTCAACATATCGGCCCAAACAAGGGTCCGACATCTCAATATCCGACATCTCGACATTCGGCATCGCCTCAAACCGATTTCAAAACTCACCGAATTCAGAGCTCAAAATTTAGGGCCGATCGCACGAATCGGACAGAAACACGGCCACCAAACAAATCGATTTCTTCAATACTGACTTTGCCGACAACTCAATTTTGGTGTATCCGAATTCAAGATCTCAGCTGGGCCTGTTTCGCCATTCACGACCACCATCGTCGAACTGTCAAATCGCAGCCGGATCACCGATCTATATTTCTAATATTCGCCGGAATTGCTGAACTCAAAGCCGTCCTCTGAAAATTGCTGAGATGACGAGTTGAAATCTTGCAAGCGATTTCCTAATTCACAAAAAAAAAGAAACGAGAAAGGACCGAAATAAAGACAAAGTGGAAGAGAAGAAAAAAGAAAGTTACAGCGGCATGTGGAGTTTGTGAAAGGGAATGTCCTCACACCATTAAAGTGGGCTTATGCAATATGTGGCCCAATTTATTTACCAATGTCAAAGTTGGATTCATTCTTTTGGGACGTGACCAAATTCATTTCGCAACATCGTGAGCTGAATTTTCTTCAAACCGGTGATGTTGAGGGCCGAGTATTTATTCTAACCAACGAAGAGCCAGTTCCAAGTTTATTTGTTCATGCCAACGTTAACTGGTGTGGGGCTCATTCACACTATCCCGAGTTGTCATTCGCTCGTCTTTGGATTCAGTTATTGACAGGACCGAGTTCGATTATTTATACCGAGGCCACATTTATCTATCGTTGCTGAGGCCAAGTTCACTTGTTCAAACCGACGACAACTGGGGCCGGACGACAACTGGGGCCGAGCTTATTCACTATGAGCTGATTTATCACTCAATCGTCCCAGACTTCACTTACTTATTCTGGGGCTGACTACATTCATCAAAGCTGGGGCCAAATTCCTTTATGTCGTCACCAGTCATTTATCTCCGACGTCTCTATATTTTCTCGCCGTTGAGCCTCGACTCCACCTGAGCTGACGTCTTTATAATATCTCGCTGAGGTATCTTTCATTTCCTACATTTAAAAAAAGCCGAATCTCGAAAAATAGTTCGGTGCATAAAAATGTGTGTCTTCCCCGCAAGAGGCAAGGCACAGAACCTACCATGGGGAAACGCAATTAATGGACCTCAATAAATCGGTCCCCGTTGCTAAGGCTAAACGTGTTTCATACCCTGAAGTTGGTATGACCTGGCCAAACGCAACACAGCCGGATACTTCCAAGCCCTGCAGATGGCTTGGGGAGGCAGATGCCCTTCATGGCTAAATCCTGAAGTTGATTTAGCGGGCTTATAATAATAATCGACATCAATAATATTCTTTCGCCAAATCCTGAAGTTGATTTGGTACGATCAATATTCCGGCAAGGCATAGCACCTACCGGCAAAAAAGTCAGACTCGACAAGACATCGAGGTAACATCATTTATCGTACAGTAATTATCTCTCGCACGTGCTCATTATATATTCGTGCATTCATATATACATTCATACATACATTCATCATATACGCGCGTCATACATACATCTTGACATGAATATTTCTTCTCCAAACCCTGAAGTTGGTTTGGCAAGGCTAATGCTCTATAAGTCACATTCAAGATCATGAACATATTACCTGATCGATAAAAATAAAAAGTAAATACAATACACCAAACGCTTTTGTATGTTTGGACCCCCACTGATTAAGCAAAATCAATAAGACTTTTCCCAGCTGGCAGAAATAAAAAAAAAA